ACCACTCAACAGCTCCTCTTTTCTCCTCTGGCTGGTGCCTTATGTCACCTTGCTTAATGCTTGTGCAAAGGATAGATAAGGAATCTATAATCTGTCCTGTATTTGATTTCTCATTGTCGTTATTCCACTCTACATATAAGTTTTTATGTTTTACTACAATAATCCAGTCTTTTTTTCCTGAACCGACACCTCCTTTTTATTTTGTTTGCTTTTTTTTCTTCCTGAAACCCAATTTTTCCCTATGTGTCTTTTGGGATGATATAAAGTGACCAATGACATCCCACTGCAGCCGTTGCCATGGTGATCTGTGACAGTGGGAAGCACCACCCAAGATGAATGGGCCATAAAAGTAGTAACAGAACAGCAAGGGGTGTGTAGAAAAGAAAGGAGCTTTAGTCCCACAGCTAGATGGAGAAAAAAAAAATAGGGCAAGAAATGTCATGAATTTTAAATAGTATATAGGTAATCAATATCCCACTCTAATGCAGACACTTATTATGCTTGTTTTTGTATTTTTTTCTAGCAGTCACAGTATAACACACTTTTTTTATATCTTGCGTTTGTCACAGTGAAAAGAAATCATGTCTACGAGCATTTTCCTATTCAGATTGTTTTGACCTTCATGTACTCTCTTCAAAGTATTAATCTAAATGTATGACTATGAGACCACTCATGGCCATGTTTATTTTTTCTCTTTTACTTTATTCCATCAGGCTAAGTAGAGTTATGTCCAAAGAAGCTCTTCCAGTTTCAAAAATGTTAGTTTCTCCAATTTGTTTACACATCTAAAATGTTATCTAATTAATTTCTAAGGGGAGTTTATATGAGACTACATATTTTTTTTTTTTCTGTTAGAATATATGTCACATGCCATCATGTCAAACCATGATTTGTACAGAGGCTTTGCTGCCATCACTTCTTCTTGATGTACAAACACATGACAGTGACACAACTTTGCTCACATGTGATGAGCTCATCGAACGATTCAGCACCTGTGATCTAGAATGGAGATCGACAGGTACAGGTTTTTTTTTTAAGGCAGATGCTGATCATTTTTACACCAGTCTAACCGATCCCCAAAATGTGCAGATGATTACTTTATTTTAATAGGTTTAAAATAAACAGCTTCACCTTAATTGATTTTTCAAGCAATGACTGCCGAATGCACTAATGAATCTGCTGATTCTGATAAAAATGCAAATATCACCCAAAAATATTTACCGGAAGATGTATCAGTCGATCTCTACTTGAAAACCCCACTTTAAGAGAAATCATTATCACCCTTTTCTCGGCGTTATTTTTGTTTGTTGCTGTCCACTTCTTATCCATTTAAAACAGAGATGGGAAGTAACGAAGTACAAATACTTTGTTACTGTACTCAAGTAGATTTTTCTGATATTTTTACTTTACTTTACTACTTATTTTTATGGCGACTTTTTACTTCTACTCCTTACATTTTTACACAAATATCTGTACTTTCTACTCCTTACATTTTAAAAAATTGTCTCGTTACTTTAGTTTTGAATCATTTCAATGGAGTTACCGTTATTATTTTTCACGTCATCAATACCAAATTCAATCTAATTGGATGGGAATCTACGTTGCATTTGACGCACCACTACAAGATGAATCGACAGATTCGGCGGTATTCATTGGCGGCAAATCATTGCAGCTTGGTGGCGGTGGCGTTAGCATAGTAGAATGGACGACGAGATGATTGAAAACGAACACAACGGAGATCTAGTCCTATTGGCAGACATCCATTTAAAATGTAGGCAACGGCATGAAAAAAGTGGTTTCTACTTTTACTTTTATACTTTAAGTAAATTTACAAGCCTGTACTTTGTTACTTTTACTTGAGTAAAGAAGTTTAATCAGTACTTCCACTTTTACCAGAGTATTTTTTAACACAAGTATCTGTACTTTTACTCAAGTACGGATAGTGAGTACTTTTGCCATCTCTGATTTAAAATAGAATGAATTGTGAGAACATGTTTCTATTTCAAAAGATGACTGAGATTTTGCACTGTGATTTATTTGTATGAGTGAAACACTGCCTACATGTTTCAGTGTAAATGCTTCAACTAAATTTAAAGGGGTCCATGTTGTCACTAATGGCCCCTTTGAGATGCATCCTGGATGACATACCTGATCCATCGCCGGGCAGATTTATTCCTAATATTTCCGATGGTACAGTCAACAACATGGTAATTGCTCGGTGGTGGAGATGTCACTGAAAATATGAGCATATTAAAAGCACAAGACATCAATTAGAGTTTAATCGATGCTTTACCGAAGCCACAGTGACTGTCCAGGCCAAGCAGTCAATCTACACTGGAGCACCTGATCTCCACTTCATTCAGATGTCTACTTTAATTAAACGCAAGCCAACAGCAGGGAAGCAGTGTTATTAGCAGGATTACTGCTGCTGTCACAGAGGGGGTCATGTTAGTGGATTATGTTTAGGTTTATTCCTGTCCAAATCTGTTTTTTTCAACTTTCCATTAACTGGGTTTCTTTAAGTTTTTACTGCTAAAAAGGAAAACATGAGTATTATTGTGGATTCTGCTATTGTTGCAGTTTTACTAGATGTATTTAAATAGATGAGGATTTTCTGAAAATGAATCAGTGTTGATAAGGATTTAAGCAAAAATAGAAAATTGGTTTTGAAAAGCAAAATAACATAGAAAAGCTCTGCCCTAACACAGACTGAATATCTCTGTCAGTGTTTTACCTCCTTCTTCCGGTGTAAAAAAATCTCACAAGTGGGTAACAATTTTTACAGACAAACCAGAATATTTGCATGTTAAACGTAACCAGATGTTTAAGGTTTGGTCAACATTTACCATGCATACCAAGACTAGTAATGATGTTATTATCTGGCTGCTGTGAGGATGAAAAAAAGTAATATGTTTATATATGTATGTATGTATATATATATAATTTTTTTTTTTTTCCTTCTCTGGGCAAAATATATTTCCATTTAACGATATTGACCAGATAAAATATCAGTTTTAATCATACATACATTTAGTACTTGTTTCTTTGTGCAGAATGTTAGAAAAACTTTGATGAAGTGATATTAATTAAACGGAGGTAAAATAGTGAAAAATGACTAGGAAAAGAACTGACCCGTTTATTAATGCCCAATCGTTATATATGCTTTAAACAGAAACAGAAGCAGAATCCTTCTTTTAGCTTGCCTGTATCTGACATTTGTGAAACAGGCTGATATAATCAGATATTATTTTTTTGCCTGATATTTGACCAATTTCTTATCTCAGTATCATTTATACTCAAATATCGGTGCTTTTTACCACTTACTTTTCCCAAAACTGGCTTATTACTTTTATAAATAGTAACAAAAAAGGAAGCAAGTTGTAATTTTGTATCATTTAAGGCAAATATTTTTTAACTTTTGTAATTAGAAAAAAAAAAACTGGTTCTACTTTGTATTTAAGCAAATGAGTTCCATCAGTATTTTATTAAGATGGGTATCTGCAGTTGTACTTCAGTAAAGAATATGACTATTTTTGACACCTCTGCCAGCTAGAAATTTTTGGACCTAGATCTATGCGCAGCTCTAGAACTAAATTCTTGAAATAGAAGAGGACTCTCACCCACTCCAGAGTTGCCTGGGGAGAGAAGCATTGGATAGGTGTGGGGATACTGATCAGCCCACAGCTGATGAGTGGTGCCTAGATTTGGGATTTTTTCTTTTGAGTAGGAGTGTCGCCTCTTTGCATATTAAGGTTGCAAGAGGGAAAGAAAGACCCCATTCATCGGTAGGCCACTTGGAGGCATTAGAAATTCTTTCCAAAGTAGATAAATAATGTTTAGTCACCTTCATTGTTGGATTTTATTTTTGATGCCTAACAGTCAGAGTATCTCCCCAAAGTTAAAATTCTGTGCTTCCTGCAGTTTCATTTTGGTTTGGAATCAAACCTGTATGGATTTTACGAAATGAAAGATGACTGTGGGGTAGGTTTACTAAGATGGGAAAACATGCTCAATCTGCCCTCCTTGCGCTTGAGCTAGAACTCCCTTCTACCACCAAATGTCAGGTAGCCTAAGCCAAATTGGCTGAAGAATGGCAGCAGGCAGCTGTTGTCCAGATTAAGTTCCCATCATCTCCACCTAGCTATACTGATCTCTCTAAAATAAATAATCTTTATTTAAATATTTTCCAGATATTTTAACAAATGTTGTCAGGTGGAATATTCCACATAACAAGAATAACTAAATAATGTCAGTTCAAACAAGTTGTAATCAGAGATCTTTTAGAGTGTAGTCCTTTCATTTCACAAAAATATGTATTACTCTAAGGCAAAGAAAAACCCTGAAACGTACTTATCGGCTGCTGCTTTTAATCAGTACTGAGTTGTGGGCGCAGCTCTGTCCATAACTGGTCTGTGCAAGCCTGTTCTTGTCTGATCTAGAATTCTTAAATTAGCTTTTTTCAAATTGGGGAAATGAATACAGATGAGACTGGGACAAACAAACCAGAATATTAGCTAAAAATAATAGACTACACTCTCAGGGGAAAAGTGTTTTCTCACTGTTTTCTCTCATTTGCAAACTAAACTAAAGCGATCTTGGTAAACCTATGTTATGCTTGGCATGTTTTTTTACTGATTAAAACGGATTTCTTTACAGACATTTTGTTTTGCTCCTCTGTTCCATTTTTGTGTTTTCTAAGAAAGGGAAAACATGGGTTCTGTAAACCTAGTAAGCCTACATTTAATTAGCATGGCTGAGGGAAAAGAATTGCAATAATATATTTCATGCTTAAAATTGTGTAACATGAAAATTTGCAGTGTGTAAACATATTAAATAGAATTATTGTCCTACTGTATGGTGCGTTTTGTATTTTTTTTTCTTTTATTGAAATTGGCTTTGTGCAAGTAAATCTTAATCAGTAAATCAATAAATTGATTTACAGTAGACACTAATGAAATTTGTTCCATTTCCCATCTGCCTCCTCCATTTCTCTTTTGCAGGCAGTGTTGCAGCAAAAGGATGCCGCTGGTTAAGCGCACCATCGAGCCCAGGCACTTGTGCCACACGGTACTGCCTAGGAACATCAAGAATGAGCTGGAATGTGTGACCAACATCTCCTTGGCCAGTGTCATTCGCCAGCTCAGCAGCCTCAGTAAGTCAAACTTTACACTTATTGTTTAATATAATAATACATACTTCTCTTGATATTGGCTAATAGTTTTGATAGGGGCAGTTCTTGTAAGAAATCTAAGCTGTTCATTGAAATGCAAAAATCAATCTATAAATGTGCACCCGTTTCTTTTTTCTTTTTCCCATAACTCTATCTTTGGAAATGAAAAGCAGCATAAACCTGCTGATTTATAAACCCATTTTTAAATAACTTATAAAATAGGGTGTCTCATTTACTCATACCTTTTAGTTTGATTAGTTTCTCATTTTCAAACACTCTTAACACTCTACATACCAGATACTAATTACAACTGTTCTTATACTGTATATTAATATTTTTACTAAGATTGAAGGTCCTAGACTTCTTAAAATCAGTTCCTTTGTTTGGGAGGTGTTTCTTAAATCAGTCTCTTCTTTTCCAGACAACACATGCAAATTTTAGTTCAGCTCATCTCTCCTCAGTAAATACATGCTGTATCTTTTTTAACGATGAATGCATCATACCAAATATAGGCAGTCACTTTGTTTGAAACTTAGTTTAACTTCCAATGGCATGGTTGTGATATTTATACCAGAGGTGTGCCACTATTTAAACAAAAGGTCACAAGTAATGGATTCATTTACATTATCTATTATGTCTATTATAGCGGGGCTAAAACTAAAAACACTAGGGTGCCGGCCCACACCCCAATGACCTTAACACATTTTGAATAAAAATTAAAGGTAATTTATAAAATTTAAATATGTTGATAAATATTTTTAAGATGTAAAATATAAATATTTAATCTTTAATCACGAATAAAACTGATTTGTTTTTCGGATTGGTGACATATTTCAGCCCTAGGGTGCAAAAATTGTTGGCCTCTCGTTAAAAGTTGTACAAAAAGTAAGCCTGTACATGAAATTCATCCATCCATCCACTTTCTTACATGCTTAACCCAAGTGGGGTCGCGCGGTCGCTGGTGTCTATCTCCAGCTGTCTACAGGCGAGAGGCGGGTACACCCTAGACAGGTCGCCAGTCCATTGGAGGGCAACACAGAAACAAACAGGACAAAGAACTATTCACACACACACACACACACACACACACACACACACACACACACACACACACACACACACACACCTAAGGGGACTTTAGAGACGCCAATTAACCTAACAGTCATGTTTTTTGGACTGTGGAAGGACGCCAGAGTACCTGGAGAGAGCCCATGCATGCTTAGGGAGAACATGCAAACTCCATGCAGAAAGACCCCCGGCCAGGAATCGAACCCAGAACCTTGTTGCTGCAAGGCAGCAATGCTACCCACTGTTCCACTGAGCAGCCCATACATGAAATAATGAATTATTTATATAATTCATATAAATATACTGGTGTGATTGGTTTTTGCTCTGTGTCTATTTTGAATTTATAGCCCCCCTTGGAGAAAAGCGCCACTGCTTCAGTATCTAAACATCTAAAATAAGCATCACAGTTGCCTGGATGCACAATGTTTTACTATGAACCACTCTACGTCCCACATGGCTAACATTTTAAGCTGGCTTGCTCTACTACAGAAACACCCAGTCACCACTTTGTTTCTTCACATCTCAATAAAAGAAACCTCTGAAACTATAAAAACCGAAACACAAGAAAAGCAGCATGGTGTGCTTTGATTGTGTTTGACAAAAGCATTTGCAATGTCTAACCAACAGATCCACAGTACATGTTGCAGACTATCAAGGTCTCCTGAGTCAGTTTAGGGGAACAATAACTGACAGCTACATTCAAAGGAAAATGTTCTACAAAAGCGAAATGATTGCTCTGAACAATAGAGTAAACATTTGAAATCAGCTTTGACACAAAGCAGGTGCCTTACAGATACAAAGTAAGTTTTGTATCTTTTAGATAAATGTGACTTTTACATTTATTTGGAAACATTAACTGATTTTCTTTAATCATTTTTGCAGGTAAATATGCAGAGGACCTTTTTGGAGAGCTGTTCAATGAAGCCCACTCCTTCTCTTTCCGGGTCAACTCCCTGCAGGAGAGGGTGGACCGACTCTCCATCAGCGTCACACAACTGGACCCCAAAGAAGAAGAATGTGAGTTTCATATTGATCCATCCATCCATCCATTTTCCATCATGCTTATCCCAAGTGGGGTCGCGAGGGGTGTTTGTGCCTATCTCTAGCTACGGGTGAAAGGCAGGGTACACCCTGGACAAGTCTCCAGTCCATCGCAGGGCACATATTGATTCAGAGCCACGCAAAAATATTCAAACCCATTGATTTTTTTTTCCTATTTAAACTGCTGAGTATTATCTTTGATTTTATGGGACTTACAAATGCAATGTAGTGCAGACATGAGAAATAAAAAAAACACATGGTTGGCATCCGTTTGCATTTAATTCTCCTAGCCAGTGTTGTTGTAAATCTTTTTGGATTGGTCTCTACCAGCCTTAAATTTATTTTTGTAACATTTTTTAAGTCCAATCGTACTTGGCATTTCAAGCATAGTGTAGTTGCTTTGACGCTTGCTTGTCAACCCAAACAGTCAAGTTTGCTGCTTGGTCCTGTCAAGAGTTTCATTTTGTGGAGGAGTGGTAGTTGCCTAGTGGAGAGGCTGCCAGTTCAAACTACAGAATGGCAAATCTGGGCCCCTGAGCAAGACCCTTATCGCCACTTGCTCCTAAGGTGCTAAACAATGCAAGGGATAGATGGATTGTAAAGAACATCTTTTACTGTAATATACAAACAGCTAAAGGTGATTATATTAATAGGAAAACTTATGTCTAAACCTGCTTTCAAGAATCCCAATGGGATTCAGGTCTGGAACCCAAGTCGAACAATTTAACACATGGATATCTTCCAATCTAAACCATTTTATTGTAGCTCAAGTTGTATGTTTAGGTTCCTCAAGCAGGGTGTTCCCAACTGTTGTTATTTATTTTAAATTTTTTTTTAAGAAACTATCCAGTTTCTGTTGTTCTATCTCAAATCTGTCTTTTTAGTATGATGCTTCCAGCCCTTTGTACCTCAGTAATGATATCGTATTAGATTTTTTGCCTCATATGATGAAATGGTTGTTGGCCAGAAAGTAGAGTTATGTTTTCGTCTGACCAGAGCTTTGTCTTCCTCATGTTTGAATTCATGGCTTGTGGGAAACTTGAACTGAAGCTTTATAAGACTCTCTTTACCACACTGTTGTAATGACCAGCTTTGTCAAGTGTTTCCATTTAATAGTTGTCATGTCCATAGATTTTCCTACCTGAGTTGTGGATCTCTGCTGCTCCTCCAGAGTTACTAAGAGTCATGTGACTGCTTCTCTGATTTATGCTTTCCTTCCACAATCTGTCATTTTATTTGGAAGATTACTACTTTGTAAATCTGTATGGCCATCAAGAAGCTTTTAAAACCTTTGTATCATAAGTTCCATCAACAGTTATGCTTTTTGTGTTGTTTTTAACCTAAAATCCTAATGAAATACTTAAATGTGTTTTTGTATTGTGCCAAAATGAGAAAAAGTAAAAAATTAGAAACATATTTAAAAGACTCTTTACACATAACCTATGCAAATCAATTCCTTTTATCTAGACAGAGCCTTTTAGAGCATGTTTTCTCAAGGCACTTTACAAAGAATTCAGTTAAATAATACAAGCAAATTGAAATAGAGCAGAAAACTTTTAACCAATTTATTATTGTTGTTCTTTTAATTCAAAACTATGTCTTCAATTCTATTTCCTTTTGGAACTAATAAATCATTGTTAAATTTAAATTAAACTAGTAGAATTAGACGATGCCATTCATTTATATAAGAAAAATGACTTCTAAAGGCTTTTCTATGATATTGCCAGAATCTTCTGTGAGTTTTAATGGCTCTTACTGAAGGAACAGGTAGCTATAAGAATCAGATTTTATCTGCTATGGTAGTAAAACCAGTTCCAGTTTGAAACATTGCTCTCATGTTTCTGTTTGACTTGCTGCTCATTTACTTGATAAATGTGTTTTCCTTCTGTGAAGAGGATCTTTGGGATCTTTGTTGTGAGCAATAAAAAGAAAATGTAATAATCTGTGTCCTCTGTCAAGTAAGCCAGGTTATCCAGAGAGAGGAGAGGCAGAACGACAGGATAGAGTTTCGGGTTGAGTCGGCAGTGAGTGTACAGTAAAGAACATGGGGAGAATCACAGTGGTGTAATACCACGCTCCAAGGCACTGTATCGATTTCCCTTGGGCCTGCAGTGTGTTTAAAGCTTTGTTCAATGCCACTTTAACTGCTTCCTTGTCACTGACAGAGTAAAATGCTCTCCGGTTATGGCCTTTTTGAATGCAACTAGAGGCATCCCTTTTTCATAAAGCAATAAACTGTATGATATTGTGGACTCTGGATGTTATAACCTGCATGCTTACTGTACCTCCACCCTTCTCTCTTTTTGTCCCATCTCCAACCCATTCATGTCCACCATTTAAACCAGACATTTACCAACGATTGAAAGAAAAAGATGGAAAGTTTATTTTTTTACTGTTATTCTTAATATCTATTATATACCTAATATTAGGAAGTTTCTTTCAATAAAGATTCTATTATATCTTTCTGCAATTTGGGATGGTCAAGATCAGGATATCAGGGTTTTGTAAGCTTCCTATTGGTTTACTTTCAACATTAATTTGATAAAGATTTTTAAATGTATTTAAAGCCATTTCCTCAAACAAATTACTTCCTATATTAGAGCATAAAAAGATCAAAGGTTATCAATTGAGATCAGTAAGATTCTTGATGATCTTCCTAATTTTCGACAATCCTTGGCTTCAAATTCCAGATAGTTAGCTAAAGATGCCAAGTTTGTCTATTTAAACAATCATATGGAGGTATATTTAGCTTTAGGATGTTTAACCTTCATACTGTCCAGGAAAGAGACTGGTTCTATGCCCAAAAGCAGAAGACCTTGCAAAGGTACTGGGTAATGTTGCAAGAGAGCTGTGCTGTTCAGAGTAAAATGAGCCCTATACCAATGTGGGCTAAAAAGCCAACCAGGAGAGAAGAAGCCAGTTGAAAAATTCAAGAAAGAACATTAGATCATAGCAGACAAGGGAAAGGGCAACATGGAAACCTAAAACATCATCCCAGTATGAAGTATGGGGGTGGCTCATATCAGAAAAATGTAACAGGCAGTACTGGAAAGGTGTGGGAGAGATTTTGACTGTTTGTCAGTTCACAACAAAGAGAGTACAAATTTTTGTTTTCACCAAATATGTTTTTGACAAGAACAATGGACTCGGGGAGAACTCGAGAACGCAGCTTGCAAGCATAAATATGGGTCAATTAGAACAGAACACCACCCGCCTTACCTGGAGCTGCATTTCACCTCCTATTTTTAATAGTCTCTAGATAATAATAAATTCTTACTGTTTTCATTAAGTGGGGGAATAATAGTTAACACAGTCAGATAAACACAAAATAAATTAACGTTTTGCCAAATAAAACAAAAAAATCGCCCTTAGAAAGGCTAAGGTTAGCCTCGGACGTCTGCTGGTTGCCGCAGTTCTCTCGACATCTGAACTTTTTCTTTTAAATTACACACTAAATAAGACATATAAGACATATAGAGATGCTTAAAAGTATTAGAACTTTAAACTTATACTCTGAACTCTGTCACTGCTCCACTGATCACTGTCACTACCCAATCCGTACCGGAAGCACCATCGGCTCATTTGCGCATGTTCAAGCAGATAAAAATCCAGGTTGCCATAAATAATGTAATCATGGTACTAAAAGTACTTATTTCTATCCTTGAATAACTAAAGAATGCATTTCTTATGACTTTCTGAGACAATTCAATGCTTTTAACATTATAGCTTGTCTGATGTCATCATCAGATATGCTCAGAGTAGTCAGGCAAAATATGATTAAACAATGTTTAACTTTTTTATTTTATTTCTTTCTTTAGATTACACACTATAAACCATAATGTTTACACGAAAGGAATAAATAAAATAAAAAGACAAGATTTATGTTTTAATCCAAAGCCAAAAAAGTTAGCTCCCAATAGTAGCGCAGAATACAGTTTCTGGTGCAGATAAGTGATAAAACAGAGAGGATTTTAATGCATTTATTTTATCAGGAAATACATTGTTAACCTTTAACACATTATAATTAAGTATAATTGCTATTTTTAAGTAGGGAAAAATGTAATCTAGTTCTTTTTTACAAATTAAAACCAAGGGTGACCCGGATGTACACTATATTGCCAAAAGTATTTGCTCACCTGCCTTGACTCACATATGAGCTTAAGTGACATCCCGTTCCTAATCCATAGGGTTCAATATGACGTCGGTCCACCCTTTGCAGATAGAACAGCTTCAACTCTTCTGGGAAGGCTGTCCACAAGGTTTAGGAGTGTGTTTATGGGAATTTTTGACCATTCTTCCAGAAGCGCATTTGTGAGGTCGCACACTGATGTTGGACGAGAAGGCCTGGCTCTCAGTCTCCGCTCTAATTCATCCCAAAGGTGTTCTATCGGGTTGAGGTCAGGACTCTGTGCAGGCCAGTCAAGTTCATCCACACCAGACTCTGTCATCCATGTCTTTATGGACCTTGCTTTGTGCACTGGTGCACAGTCATGTTGGAAGAGGAAGGGGCCAGCTCCAAACTGTTCCCACAAAGTTGGGAGCATGGAATTGTCCAAAATGTCTTGGTATGCTGAAGCATTCAGAGTTCCTTTCACTGGAACTAAGGGGCCAAGCCCAGCTCCTGAAAAACAACCTCACACCATAATCCCCCCTCCACCAAACTTTACACTTGGCACAATGCAGTCAGACAAGTACCGTTCTCCTGGCAACCGCCAAACCCAGACCCGTCCATCAGATTGCCAGATGGAGAAGCGCGATTCGTCACTCCAGAGAACGCGTCTCCACTGCTCTAGAGTCCAGTGGCGGCGTGCTTTACACCACCGCATCCGACGCTTTGCATTGCACTTGGTGATGTATGGCTTGGATGCAGCTGCTCGACCATGGAAACCCATTCCATGAAGCTCTCTGCGCACTGTTCTTGAGCTAATCTGAAGGCCACATGAAGTTTGGAGGTCTGTAGTGATTGACTCTGCAGA